TTATTTTTTTCATACCACAAAAAAGTAGGGCTGGAGAGACAGGTCACCAGTCTAAGCACCTGCCTGGCAAGTGTAAGGACCCAGTACAACATGCTGTGCTGGCCCTACCCTGCATGTTCTGAGCAGGCCTGTAATCATAGCTCTGGGGAGGCTGAGACAGGAGCATCACTACCAGTCTAAGCTGTGTGGTAAGACCCTGTACCGAACACATGCAATTAAAAAAAAAAAGTAATAAAAGAGAAAATCTTCGTGAAGAATTAAGAATCCACAACTGTGCTTCATATGCAAGTAATACAAAAAATCCTAACAGTGACTACTTAGTAACAGAGATTTAAACTAAAATCAGAAGAACATTACTTACAAAATAAAAAAAAGATTGTAGGATGCAAAGGCAAGATATCTAACATGGCACTCTGAAATAAATCTAAGGATTGAAATACTCTTTGAATAAAAAGCTTTGCATATAATTGCTAATATTAATATATGTGTACGCATATATTAACATGCATGGAATATATGTACGTCACTCCTAATAAGAGTAGACATCTAGTCTAACACGCACATGTACACACATATACCAGTCACTCTTGTAGACAGACACCTAGTCTAGGTATACTAATGTGATCATTTTTGCTATACACATTTGTGTTAAAAGTATATTTATGACAGACATGTATTAGCACTAAGAAGATATATTCACAGGCAATGGAATTACATGCGAAAAAAACCATGGAAAGTGAGACAATCTTTCTGATTTGGAACTATACTGACTTCTTAATGTTCTTTAAGCAGTTGTAAAACCTGCTAGAACAGAGCTAAGAAAGCAAGATTAGTGTAAGCTGACAAGTGCAGGAAGAGAAAGATGGCCCAGATGATCAAGGAAACAAGGGGTACCACTTTCCATCTTTCAACTGACTCTTCTGGAAGTGTTTAACTATCCCTTATTTATAAATAGATGCTACCCCTCAACTTCCACTAAAAAACTTTGAAGAAAGTCTTTTCTGGACGACAATTCCTGTACTAGCTCTATATTCTCTAAAACCTCTTTTATATGAACAAGTAATTCTGAGAAGAGGAGGTGAAGCTAAATAACAGACTACGTATGAATTTTGTAGGTCTAGTTGTTGTAACTTTAAAACTAAAAGCTTCACTAAAAAAAGTTAGCATTTCAGAAGACAATCGTTTTTCCTATTTGAAAGTCAAAACAAAACAAATTTTAAGTTTGATTACGATATAGTAACAATAAAATAGATTAGACATAAGTTACCTATTTAGTTATTTACAGTAATACCGTGTTTTCAAGGGGCTGTTTTTGGAACATAAAGTGTATCAGCATGCTATGGAAATTATAAGCACTACGCTTTTGTACCTAATATTACTTCAGGACTACACAATTCTGTGATGATGCAAATATCACCTTATCAGTGTTGAACAATATGGTAGTCAACAGGCACATGTGACTACTGAAGAAATGAATTCTAAAAATTTTGCTTAATTTATTTTAATTTCAATTTGAAAAGCCAAAAAAGGCTACTGACTACCATTCTGGGCAGTATAATTCTAGATTTCACTATTTGCTTCTAAGTATATATAAATCTAAATTTATAGTAAAACTCTTTCATAGAATTAAAACCTAGTATCAAACTTCCAGCTCTATTTCTTTTAAACTACATCTCTATTTAGATCATGTTTTTAGATTGCATGGGCTAAACAGGCCATGCCACACAGCATACATAAAAATAAATTTTTACAAGTTTACACAAAATACCAAATAATATTGTTTTGCATGCATAAATTGCCATTATAGTCTCGGCAATTCAGATTCTAACTTCTTAATGTTTCCCCCTCAAATTATCTTATGTAAGTCTCCAGAGGACTTAATTTTCCAAACATGAAAAAGTTAACACTACTTCCATCCCTACAAATTTACAATTTAGCCAATTAAGAAGTAAATATCATTCTCTTTTGTCTTTGTATTAACTGGCCAAAGCTATCTACTTTTGAAATATAAAACTTATTTCATAGTCTCTTCAGTATATAATCTTTCAAGTTATTTTTCTTTTTTTTTCGAAGTTTTATTGATAAACAGATAGCAATGAGATAGTTTCAAATCAAATCGGAAGTACAGTTTCAACAAATAATACACTGCATATATTCTTCTTAGTGGTTAATTGCTG